GCATTTTCTCATTGATTTTCTCATTCCTATTATTTTGTCACATGTGGCTTTTTATTAACTTCAAATACTATGTGAAGAAGAACAAAATTACAACTCAGCAGTTGGATAAGGCAAGTCCGGAACTGACAGATGATTTAAGCTGTGTGGAATCAAATCGACCAAAGACACCATGGAGTGCAGCATGGCGTGATAAGATTGAAGAAAAGATTAATGATGGACCAAATAATACTCTGCCACCAATTTGTACAATTTATCCATTGATGCAAAAAATAGCAATAACATCAATCAAATCACAAAATGAGCAAAAAATTGTCAGCAATCATATAAGAGATTACACTACCAAAATAAATCGAAAATCAAGTTTTTCTGCAGCTGATGTGACCTCATTATCAAATGATGGATTGCAAAGATTTCAAAGACCTAGTTTACCAGACATTCGTGACTCTTTACAATTTCAATCATCTACTCCTGTTGAAGCCTGGCACAATATCATTCAATATCATACACAACAAAACAAGACTAGAGCAGACGATAGACAAGCTAAATTAGATGAGGTTCAATCCTGGCATGGAAACTCAAATTCTGGATCACCTGATGACACCAGTGCAGATCCATTACAACTAGATGTAAAGAAATTGGGAGTTGAGTCAGTCCAGAAGTCAAATGAGTTATTGAGACAACATGACAATATGGCAAGTACATGTGATGAAAATATTAATGAAAAATATATTGGACAGTTGACAAGTTCTGAGAAAAAAGACACTACAGAGTCTCTGAAGACAAAATCAGATGAAAATCAGCAAACGGTTAGAAGATTAAACGTGAAATCAGTGAGTTTGACAGATATTAATGATGTTCAAGAAAATGGTGGTAGTAAAAAACTGGAATCAGCTCAGAGTGACATAAACTCAATCCCACATTTTACTCCCAATAATCGCTCTAATAGTTTAGATAATACTCAAACCACTGATCACTTCACTGATAAAATCAAGCAAATTCATCATGAAAAGAATAAATTTAGGAAAAAGAGAAGAAAAGGTGATGGGATTTATCCAGAGAAAGAGGGAAGAGATTTAGATAATAATTCAATAGATTTCCATATATTAGATTATCAAACAAGTACAGCATTAAGACCAAAAATAAGCAATGTTCCCTATTTCCTGACTAAAATCAAGAAGGCATGGTTTAAGAAATCAATCACATCTTCTGATTATGAAATGAATGAATTCTATACTGATGAATATGAAGAAAATGGTCATTTGATAAATGTATATTTAGTTTTGATTATGATTTATCAGTTCCTCTCATTACCCAAATTTTGTCTTCAATTTTATCTGTCTTCGTGTTCTGAGTGTTCTACTGACTTTATTGTTTTGTACTGTCTAAATCTGATAGAAAGACTTCCTCAAATTTTATCACCAATTTTAATTGTATATTTTCATCCACCTTTTAATGTAATTATGATGTATTTTTTGTCCTGGTTTAAGTGTCAATGTAACAGAAAATAAAATATCTTTTTGTTAGTATTTCTAAAGGTTTAATTGTTCTTTTATATGAATTAATTAACACCCATTCATCTGAAATTACAATGTGCTAAAGGCAATCAAGATGCTTTTTGAACTGAATAAAATGCATTTCAAACATATTGTAATTGCAAACGATAAATTTAAGTGATTAAGTTTGATAATTTCTTCCCCTCCATAAGCAATATTTATCTTTTGAAATTACAATTTATTTGAAAGTGATGTTATTATTAAGGTTTTTATACATAGAAACACAAACAGCATTAAAATTACCCACTGGTTATAAACTTAACCTGTAATTAAACTCAGAAATTAAATTAAATTCTGAAAGAAATTAAAGTAAACTTAATTTACAGTTGATATAGCAGTCTGTTTGGATTAGAAATTTTTATAGTGGTACTAAATTTGAAACAAAACAGATCAATTTAGTGAATATATTATTTTCATAAAATATTACATTACCACTTGTATTATATGTAAATATCTTATTAATGTTCTTTAAAATGCACTAAACACAGCTATGTAATAAAACTTACTAAAATAGATCTATAACTATAAAATACAAATATAATAGAATGATTAAATTGTAAAAATGTAATAAGAGTTAAATCTAAAAAAGATCCACCCTCTCATTCAGTAGCTTTATTGCTCATGGCAGCCATTGTTCATAATTTCTTTATTAATGTTTTCATGATACCAAACAAAACAAAACAACAAAAACATTTAAGACTGGTTGCTAAGAGTAAAAAACAAAACAAGTGGTTGCCTAGCAAGATACGCCCTGATTACAAATTTTGATGCGTCAAGGCCAATAACTCAAATTCCGTTGATCGAAAGATTGTCACTTCAAACTTGACCAAGATCTCATTAATATAAATGATCACACCAATCAGATAAAAACTGTAGCCTCTATTGTGTTCACAAGCCAATTGTGGACGGACTTAATAACGACCCAGAAGTGAGTCAAAGACCACAGCCTAAATTCCCTGGTATAGTTTTGTTGAATTGAAGGAGAATCTGATTTTAAACATTGCTACAGATCATGAGCTACAGCAAATTTTCAGATAACTATATCTCTATAAGAAATGAAAATCAGCAAAGTTTAAAGAGTCCAACTGTTTTTCATTTCATCAATAACAATAGTGTCTTATTTGAAAGAAGATAATCCACAGCATTAACAGAGATGAGTCTCTACTGGATTCTCAGCAAGTCTCTAGATATCTAGTATTATCATGTAATACTCAGTATTAACAACCTTTTCACCTGAAATCTACTCATAGTCACTGTTTATTTGGAATATCTTTAATATAATATACCACTCACATTATGCTTCCTTTGATTTTTCAGACTAACACAAACAGAAGAATTTTATCTTCAAACCTGTAAATATTACATATTTCTACCGTGTTTATTTTGTATCAGGAGTAAATATTCAATGATGTTACGTTATTGACAATCCACACTCTTCTGTAAAGTTAAACTCGTGATTAATACATGAGTATGGGTCATTTTTCTCTTACAAAAAGGTTGTTTTGGTTGGTTAAAGTTCATTGCCTCGTGCTAAATCAAAAAAAACAGTGAACCATCATACTTTCAACTTCAATTGATGAGATGACCTGGTATATAGGACTAAAACAATGAAACAAAGATAGAAACAAATAAAAATAAGATAGCTTGCCAGGCAAGGTAATATATGCCCCCTGGCAGCTTTGATTTTAAATAAAAATATTTGGCAGTACAGTAACAATCACCAGTATGAAATATTTAACCTTCAGTCATACACTTCTTTTGAACTTTTCGAGGCAATGCTGAATAATATTACTAAGTTTCGTCAAAATCTGTCAGGAATTGGGCCTTTAAGAGTGTTTACAGGCTAAAACTTGAACTTATTTTTAAAAACAAGGGCAATAACTCATACTACATATTTTTCGATTCTTCTGATTTTCAATAGGGTTTATCCTTGGGTGATTACTAACACTCATACCAAGTTGTTTCATCTAAATCCGTCAGGAATTGTGCCTTGTAGAATGTTTACAAGCTAAATATTGAACGCATTTTCAAGAACAAGGGCAATAACTCATACTAATTATTTTTCGATTCTTCTTTGATAGCGTTCATTCTTGGCTGAAAATAAACACTCACACCAAGTTTCATCAAAATCTGTCAAGAATTGCGCATTTCAAGAACAAGGGCAATAACTCATACTTAATATTTTTTCGATTTTTCTGATTTTTAATAGGATTCATTCTTGGGTGATTACAAACAATTATACCAAAGTTTGTTGAAATCAGTCAAGAATTGTGCCTTGTAGAGTGTTTACAGATAATTGTGGAGGGACGGAGGACGGTGGGAAATGGGTGAATAAAAATGACTTCAATAAATCCAATGACAATTAAATTCTAGCCCAGACACATATTTCCCTTAAATTGTTTCAAATTATTCCCAACACATGTTTCAGCCATTCATTTTCCATGCCAAATAATCTAAACTTGGTCGACACCCATTTATCAAAATTGTTCATCTCCAGTCAACTAACCAGACAGAAACCATTCTTGATATCTTAACAAGTTTTTGACTGCATAATTCCAATTTAAGTGGATAACACCATCTTCAGATGAGAATGTAAAATTTTAGATTCCATGGTAAAATGATCCTCAGTATACATACCAATTTATTAATACTGGTGCTCATAGGTTTCTTTAGCAGTACAAATAAAAACTGAAATAGTGCTCTTTGGTGTGATTATCATGAGCCCAACCTACCCAAAAACTGTTCTTATTGGGAAAGACAACTACTGACAACTACAAATCGAATACAACATTTTGCAGTTCAATATCCCTGCTTAGATTTATGAGGATGAAGGACATATAATAATTTTTTACAATTCACACATTTAGTGTCAAACAATACAGACAAAAATTACATCTATGAATACCTAAATGGCAAGTATTGAATTATAACGGACACTAGTTACATTCCTGTAAATGTATTTTAAAAAACAAATTATATAAAAGAGATAAAAACAAAATGAAAATATTCACTGGACAATATTTAATGTCATAAAATGAGACAAAAACATTAAATTTACACCACATTACATGTTATTATCCTGTGGAATAGATAAACTGTTGTTAAAAAACTCAATTAATTGCTCAGTTCAGACATTATAATATGCCTTTTACAGATTATATTAAATACAAAAAATTGCAATGAGAAAAAAATATTTTAATAATAATATTATTATCACATATATCTACTTAAACAAGACTGAAGTGGGCTAAAAAAAAAAATATCAAACATACACTTATAGATTCTGTAATTGTTTGATGCATATGGTGTTTTTCATACACGACTGTATTATAATTTTAGAATTTCTGTATTGTAATACCATTATACATGTATAATCAATAAACTGATCCAGGTTGATAGCAGGTTATTGTATCTATCATACTTAAAATGAGAGGATATAAGAGTCTATCTGATAGTATCTGATAGGCAAAGGGCAGTCATGGCTGAAAATTGGGACAGTGCGACAGAAATTGGCCTGATTTTTTGTTTGAATTTTCCATTTTCTGTGATCTGTCTTATTCATTATCATGGGTATTCTGGGCAACATTGCTAATCTTAACATTACTAAGATTATGTCTATGTAAATCAAGTTTTGTCAGGTATTTGAAGAGGGTGTTAATCCAATAGATAACTTATTTGAAGATTCAAAATCATGAATTTAAGCGCTTTGGAAAAATCTCCCGACTTTCAAGGCAAATCTCCAGATTTTTTTTCTTGACCTGTACACATGTATGTAGATAAGCTCTCGTAATATATAGATGCAAAGAAGCTTTTGATTACCACAGTAATAATTGAACAAAACATTAAAAATAAGGTGTAGAGTTGTTTATGTTAAGTGTATGCAACACAAGATGGTTGAAACAATGACGTGTTTGTATGATGTTCAAGATAATTGACTTGAGACATTGCTAAAGAATATATCCAGTTCAATGTTCTGTATAGGATAAAAAACTACAAGCAATGTTATGTTTGTCCTCATGTATGTGTATATAAGTTGTACTAAAGTTGAATCAATCAAGGTATAATTTGTAATTAAAGGGAAATAACTACCTCTATCGAGTCTTGGTGGGGGACGATACTTGATTCCTGTTTGACTCCAGTATACAGGTATTGAACCTCGAACTTGCACAAATGAAACCAGATGAGGAAAAAATTCAATTATCTACAAAAAAAGATTCAACTTTTTACTTTTAATATATTTATAAATATGGATATCCATATTATCCTAATTAATTAAAATAAACTAGAATACATTGTTAAGTATATTTCAATATTTGCACCACTTACTTGTTCAGTTTCCACAAAATTAGCACAAGCGCCAGTTTCATCTAAACCTCTTTTTTTGGATCTTGTACCTGGAAAAATGTTTTAACCTAAATAATACTCATATGGTTCATATCATTTAAATAAATATCTTTTTTTGTAAATGTATCTGTTGTAAGAGAAGACAACCAAAGGAAAACAGCGTCTTAATGTAAATAGCTAAAAGGGATCATTGAAGATGACAATGAATAACAAAAGCATGTGACTGTGTAAACTTGTGCCCTCTGCCCAGTACACTGTACCAAGATAACAATCTCTAATATAAAAGATGGCCGGTGGTCAGTATTCAACGCGTTATTATCAAAATGCATATTTTCATTTTAAACATCCTGGTATGTGTTTATAAACATAGAGCAGCAATTTGTGATTCATTCAAGGGGCATTTTAAACAAATATTCAAAATAATAAAAAGGCAAGGAAACCTATCAATAATTATTCCTACCGGCTCGATGTCGACTTCTTCTTGATAGTAACCATATATCATATTTTAATGGTTCAACTGATGATGAGGCATAATCACCAGGTGAATCACCAGGACTAACATTCTCACTGAAATCCATCTGACACCTCGCCATCTGTATATAACCTTGTACTATTGGTACAATCCAATGATCAGCTAAATCTATTTCTTCACACTGTTAAAAGTAATAAATAATCATCAGGGTAATAGACAATATTGCATTGCTATAACTATATAAACTAATAAATTACAAACATTACATAACTATTAGGGATTGAGGCAGAATGACATGATATTCTAACATGAGCTGAAACAAGTCCGTAAATGTATCAACTGCTGAATTCATGATCTGAAACAAATAGGGATAATCTGAAAAAATTCAATCTAAATACAAGAATGGGCTCAGCTTTCTTCAAGATGTCAATTGTATTTATGGAGTATATGTCAACACCATACAAGGCTGGTAGATAAAAGCACTGAGGTAACAAACCAGCAAATCAAACTCTCCACTAATTAATGTTGTTCTTGTGTTACCAATTACAGAATAAATAACAATAATGATTTTCCATACCCTTTGTAATCTTATTTCAATATTTACCTTGAAATCTATGAGTTCTTGTATAAGATATTTATTCCAGAAAAATCTCTGATCACAACGTTTAAATAACGGTAATGATTCATTGTACTGTGTAGAATGTTGTTGTTGTAAACTACATGTTAAATCATATTTATCACTATAATAAAACGACTCTTCTTCATTAAACATCTTGATTAATTCCTATAAAAAATAATAGTGACTATTAGGGAGAAGTTGTATATAAAGATGAACACAAGAGTTTATTTCGTTCCAAGCTATTAAAGTATCAACAACTTGGCAATAATTAACTTAAAAATTGTACTTACATCTAATATTCTTCTTTCAAACTTTTCTTTGTCTTTTATTTCTTTCTAAAAAAAAATTAATTGACATTACATTACCAACCATACTGTAGTCTATACTAAATACTGGTAGTACTGATGATAATCACTATTCAAGTGATTATCTAATGGAAGGTAAACATGAAGAAAAGTGTTACTAAGTTAGTTAAAAGTTTGCATTTTTATCTTCAATATGAAATGAAAGAAACAACTGATCATACCTTTTTTGGTTTGACATTTTCAGCAGCTGATTTAATAGTGTGCCATGTTTTAAGTAGAGGTTTTTGTAATAATTCTGGTCTTGTGATTTGTTCAGATTTCTTGATTCCAAAATGATGAGTTTTACAAAACTGAAAAAAGAAAAATTCTTTAAACTCTCAATAAAATCTAATTAAAGACGACAGGCAAATAATGATGAACAATTATACCAAGTTAACACAAATAATATTGTTTACAGCGAACAAAAAATACCCACAAAACACATTCCTATAAGAAAATAAGAAAATTTCAAGTAAAATGATAGACAGCATTATGAAGCAAGGATCACAGTCTAAAAGATAGACACACAATGGATGCACAGTAACATATTGCATTGGTCAGATAGACCAGTCAGACAAGATAAACCATAACAGCACATTCTGAATTTATATGTAAAAATATTAGAGATTGAGCTACACCTATCAAGCTTTGATCAAACTACCCTGGTAATATAACTTTGATCAAATTACCCTGGTAATATAACTTTGATCAAATTACCCTGGTAATATAACTTTGATCAAATTACCCTGGTAATATAACTTTGATCAAATTACCCTGGTAATATAACTTTGATCAAATAACCCTGGTAATATAACTTTGATCAAATTACTCTGATCATATAACTTAGACCAAATTACCCTGGTAATATAACATTGATCAAATGACCCTGGTAATATAACTTTGATCAAATTACTCTGATCATATAACTTAGATCAAACTACCCTGGTAATATAACTTTGATCAAATTACCCTGGTAATATAACTTTGATCAAATTACCCTGGTAATATAACTTTGATAAAATTACCCTGGTAACATAACTTTGATCAAATTACTCTGATCATATAACTTAGACCAAATTACCCTGGTAATATAACTTTGATCAAAAAACCCTGGTAATATAACTTTGATCAAATAACCCTGGTAATATAACTTTGATCAAATTACCCTGGTAATATAACTTTGATCAAATTACTCTGATCATATAACTTAGACCAAATTACTCTGATCATATAACTTTGACCAAATTACTCTGATCATATAACTTTGACCAAATTACCCTGATCATTACCCAGGTCTTATACATCCCATTTACAAGAACAAGGGCAGTAAGACAGATGCAAACAACTATAGAGGAATAACAATCATAAGTTGTCTGTGTAAATTGTTCACTACTGTTATCAACTCCAGATTAGCTAACTATATAGAATCAGAACATATTGTTAACCCCGAGCAAACAGGTTTTAGAAAACATCATTCTACCCTCGACCATATTTTCAACCTAAACTGCCTCATTAATCTGTACTTAAAACAAGGTAAACGCCTATACGCCTGCTTTTTTGATTACAGACGAGCATTTGATTCTGTCCCAAGACTTGAGCTATGGCAGAAAGTGCTCGAATCTGAAATAAAGGGAAAATTATTTAGAGTAATATTAAATATCTATAAGCTGGCAAAATCTAGAGTTAAGGTAAATCAAACTGTGTCAGAAGAATTTGACTGTTCCATCGGTGTGAGGCAGGGAGAAAATCTATCCCCACTTTTATTTTGTATCTACTTGAATGATTTGTCTTTGTTTTTGTCAAAATGTTAGTCGGGTCTTAATATCAAGGAATCAGACTTTGAAAATGTTGGTGTATATCTTAAGTTATTTGTATTGCTTTACGCTGACGACACTATTCTTTTAGCAGAATCAGAATTAGAACTGCAGACAGGGGTTACTGGAATGCTTGACTATTGCTCGACTTGGAAACTCCAAACTAATACCACAAAAACAAAGGTTATGGTTTTTTCCCGGGGTAAGGTAAGGAATGAACCTGTAATATACTTTGGAAATGAATGCTTAGAAACAGTTAATGAATTTATTTATCTGGGGATTAAGTTTAATTATAATGGATCATTCTCAAAATCAATCAATTACCTTTTATCAAAGGCATCAGCAGCTATGTTCTCTCTTGTTCATAAAAGTAGAAAACTAAACCTTGACATAGATACTCAATTACATTTATTTCAGACACTAGTTGTACCAATTATGTTATATGGGTGTGAAGTATGGGGAGCTATTGAATCAAATATTGAAAAAATTGAACGGTTGCAACTAAGATTCTGTAAAATGATTATGAATATAGAAATGTCTACCCCATGCTGTATGGTATATGGGGAACTGGGTATCTACCCTTTATCATGTACTGTAAAAACGAGAATGATCATTTATTGGCATAAAATAATTAGTAGTCCTATGACGAAACTATCACGAACTCTGTATGAGGTATTATTCCAATCACGAGACAACTATAATTGGTTAAATAGTATTAGTCAATGTCTGGATAATATTGGGCTCTCCTATGTTTGGAGCACACAGGCACAATGCATCAATGGCCAATGGTTAAAGTACACAGTCCAAACACAACTCAGAGACCAATTCATACAAACATGGCTAAGTACTATAAATAACAGTAACAAATGTATTAACTACCGTCTAATTAAGTCAATATTCCATCTTGAAAATTACCTTGTAGAACTACCACCCCAACTTAGGATAGCATTTAGCAAATTACGATGCAGAAGTAAAAGACTCCCTATAGAGGAAGGCATCTTTCAAAATACGCCTAGAGAACTGAGAACCTGCACACTCTGTCTCTCAGGTGACTTGGGTGATGAATTTCACTACATATTCACATGTTCTAAGCTAGATAAATATAGAGTGAAATTCATTACTAGCTATTACTACCGAAACCCTTCTACCATCAAAATAAATGAATTATTTATTTGTAAAGGTGTCAAACTAATAAACTTATGTAAATTTGTAAAAATAATCCTCATTGAATTTTCAAAATGATTGATGTAGTACTTAAGAGAATTAACTGTAGAGAATTAAAATTATATTATTATCATTATGAGTTAAAGAATCGTAAATAATGTATTCGTACATATTATGTAAATAACCTTATTGTTTCACTTGATGATGTTTATAATTTCTTATGTCTCCTTGAGAGATTGTGAATAAAGTTATTAATTAATATAACTTAGACCAAATTGCCCCGGTAATATAACTTTTATCAAATTACCCTGATAATACAACTTTGACCAAATTACCCTGATAATACAACTTCAAATTTTTATATGGTCAAGTTATTTAAGTACCATGAAGTGTCATCAATTGAATGAAATGAATCACTAGAGTGGGGTATTATCTATTTCCAAACAAGATACCTACTTCTAAATCTAACTCAACTGGGTCTGCAGTATTTAATGGTAATAAAGCTATTCTATTTATCTGAAATATTTTATGCTTTTCAGCTAATTCTCCAACTAAACTTCTCTGTTTTATTAACAACAATGCCCAACTTGAGTCTGAAATCAGAAAACATGTTTTATAATATGATTTATACCAGAAAATTGCTATACTAAATCTAAGAATAATAATCAGACTATTAAGAATATCATTTTCACCATAATATCAAATAAAAACCACAAATAAATGTCAATAATGTTAATAAAATTGGTCATTATTCAGCTACAGTTGAGAAATATTTTCATTCATTCTAGTTGATATGTTTTAAAAACATTGATGGGTTTCACTGTAACCTGGGTCAAAGTCTCCTTTGGTAAAAAGAATCAAATTTGAAACATTTTTGCCCTTAAGACTTTTTCTCTTACATTTGTTGATATCTTCATTGACTAATGTTTCATATTTATTTATGACTGAATACAATGCATTAACCAAAATTCTTTATGTTGTAATTTTTTGTCCTTGGATGCTGACCAATTTTGTGTCCAACGATAGAACTATCTATAAAAAGTTTATCAAGTGATAATTAATGATAGATGTATACTAGAAGTGACTGATGGCTAGAGTTATAATCAATAAAGACAATAGCGTCTAGGCCCTATAGTGATGTATATATTTATTAAACCCTAGTATTATCATCTCTAACTTATTGATCTCTTAACTCGCTGTCTAAAATTACTTCTCTTATGGTGCTTAATCTAATAATTGGGGTCATAGTCTGAGTAGAAAGAAAAGGAGAGGTAAGGTGGTTGATTCCAAACTTTGAGGATCTATGATATCAAACTACATATCAAATAATAAAATCAGTGCAAAAGAGGACATTCATGACTTCTGCCCTCACTGCATAGCCAGGGAATACTTCTCACTAACAAAAGAAGTAGATTAGGTATCAATTCACAACAATTTCATAAATTTATATACAAAGATAAATATCATACCTGGATGAAGTTTTATCTTTCCAATAATCCCATAACACAAACCCATACATACAGGGTTCCATGCTGAACATAGATCACTTCCTAAGAAATAAATCAAAAATCTTCACAATACAGATACGTCTATAGTGTTGATCTAATTGCAATACCTGCTTACATGTTAACTATCAATTTCAGCATCTAAAATCAAACTTATTCAATTTCAAATTTAAGTGAATAAATAGAGTCCAAAATATTTTTTAATAATTCTATCAGATCATTTTTATCACTCCATTAATAACAATAAACAAAAGTGTTACAAATATTTCAATAAATTCAAGCACTGAACTGCCAAGTCTTTATAAAGGCAGAAAAAAAATTTCCAGGACAATGGTATCTTTTCATCACATGTAATTAACTAGAATAAATTTCTACTGTGTTGCATTGTTATAAGTAAATCTCGTATTTGGGACCAAGGTACCATAATAAATATTTATAATGTGACATGATTTTCAAACCCACCAATCTACATGCTGATTATAGTAATTTTCATGTACTTGTATGAAATATGGAAACACATGAATATTTTATGATTACATACAACTCCTCTCCTATTGTATGAAAATTTTTTGTATAGATAGCGTAAATTTCATAACCTGATATGATGTCACTATCTTGAAGAAGTAAACCAGTCTCATCAATTCAATGATAAGGGAGCGAGGTATAAACGGGGATATGTTTTGACATATTGTAATCAGTATTAAGCCTACTACAATCAGTAAGAATTTTGTCATAAATTTATTTTTTTATTAGAAATGTAAATATTTGACACACCCATTTACACTGATAGTGATGGCATAGGCTACTTGGTTTGACTGACCTCAATATCAACAGTTAACTAATTACAAGAAGAAAGATTAATTAATTAGCTTTGATAACTTCGTGTCAACTTATGATCTTTGCACAATTTATTATAAAATAATTCAGATGGCTTATCAAATCTTAACATTAGGCCTACCACTACCGAAATATAGTAATCTTGCTAAAAAATGTCAGTGCCAGTTACCAGTAACTTTTTTAATTCTTTAACCACAAAATTAAAATTGAAAATGATTACCAAAATTCACATGTTTCTTTGCTGGTAATACTCAAATCATCATTGGATTTTTGAAATAATACAAAATAATTCATTTCATTTTTCATGAATGAATAACAATGTCAAAATGACAACACCATTACCTCGCTTAGGTTCAAGTGATCCTGTTTGCCTGTTACACCATAAACTGAATTCATTGTCTAAGAGAATGTAATGAGATTCTGTTTGGTAAAGCTCCATAGCTAATCGTTGAACTGGCTGAGAGACTTCAAAATTTTGACATTTTTCAGCTGTTTATGAATAGTTCACTCCCTTACCGGAAGTTGTTCAGTGAAGGACGTTAATGATTTTTAATATTAAAGAGTTCCGTCGTAAATGGCGGAGAAAAAGCGATCGCCCTGAAAGCTCACCTGAATTATCCAGCGACATCTGCGATTAGAGGCAGATTTAGAGGCCTTGAGAACAATTATTTATTTTTTGAAGGATCCCTTTGTCTCCATTGAATATGTATGGTGACGATGAAGGTGTGTATTTGGTATAATTCAGTGGTCTTTATCACCGGAAGTGTTACTGTTTACATTTCAAATTGTTTCTCTTTGATTGTAGCTGTTTTACAAACTAGTTCATAAAATTATGTCGAGGTGAAAGAAAACACTGCATAACCGTAGAATGGTATTGTTACAAGTGGCACTCTGCCGTACCTATACTTTTGTTCGACCTCAATTTATACATTACTAGTAAAATGTCAGAAATCACAAATAAATTATACATCGTTATTTATCTACTCTAGACTAGTTCATAGGCCCTTGGTGATCAAGTGTTGATGTTCTGTCAATATAAATAAAATATGGGGAATGTGAAGAAAATAGTGTCAACTTATATAAAAAAAAAAAGAAAAAAAAGAGAAGGCTTCCAATGGCTCAACAGGCACATATGTAAAAAAAAAGCTGTTTGTTTATCTGCTCGTGAAAGAGTTCTGCTTTAACTTTTTGGTGTTTTTGAATGAAGGACTGCTAACTGATGACTCAGATGCACTTTCTATTGAAGTAAATCAATGAGTACTTGGCCAAAACCACTTTTGTCTTGTACTTAGTTTGATTACCAGTCAACTCGTCTACATGTCAACCCGTCATAAAAAATTTCGTTGTTGAACTCGTCAACAAAAGTTAACTTGTCTACAATATTTACCAAGTCAACTCGTCAACAAAAATATGATGGGGAAAGTGTTTTCATATACAAGAACTACCTTCATTATAAAAGAGTTCTGATCAAGAGGAGACAATGAAATTGAACGATTTGCCATTCGGCAAATAATGACATGGTATCGAAATTCGAATAGGCCAAGTACAGTAGGCTAGTAGGCCTAGTAATATTTGTTTACATCTCTTGTTAGAAGTAATTGTAAATTGAAGCAATTGAATAAACTAATTAAGAGATTAGGGGACTGAAAAAAAAGATAATGTTAATTTGTAACTCATTTGATTACTAACAATCCATATGCTGAAAAGATGCAATTTTCCTTATCTGATTTCAGATCAAAATGGTAAAATTCTTGGCCTATTCTTACAAATGTGAAGGGTGAAAAATCATATTCAAATCAGTATTGGGTTTTTATTGGTAATTATAATGATTGGTTTGTTAAATTGTTATCATAATATTTATTTACCGCTGATCTACGTTAATTGAATAGCTCACAACCGAAGCCATGTATAAAGATATTTCTGATCGTTTGATCGTTATTAAAACAAAACCACCACTAGTTTTCAATATAACATCTTTATTTCAATAATTTGTGTAGACGAGTTAACTCAGTGTTCTGAACCTCAGTGTTGTAGACGAGATAAGTCAAGGTTGTTGACAAGTTAACTCGAGGATGTAGACAAGTTAACTCAGTTTGTTGACGAGTTGACATTTAGATGAGTTGACTGAACACCCTTAGTTTAACATTCGTTAAATCATGTTAAATAGAGATTCTTTTCATTAGTCATGGCAACTGGCAAGTTCAATTTCACATATGAATATATACTCTTATTTACCAAGTTTAAGTTTTATGTCCTTTCTAAGAGGTATATGCGATTCTAAACCAAAGTGGACAAAATGTATATTTTTACAAAAATGGTTGAAGCAATAGTTTTGAACCTAGGGCATTAGAATTTGACAATGAGTAATTCATACAGATCATTTTTGTATTGCTTATCCTTGACTGTTTTAGAAATGTATGATGTGGATGGAGAGGAGGAGAGTGATGAAATTACCACTGACATGTGGCAAGAAGCTTGTTGGATTGTCATCAGTTCGTATTTTGATGAGAAAGGCCTGGTACGACAACAATTGGACTCATTTGATGAGTTTATTCAAATGTCTGTACAGAGAATTGTAGAAGATGCACCAACCATTGATCTTCAAGCTGAGTCTCAACATACATCTGGTGTAATAGAAACTCCAGTGAGTACATTTTTATCACTTATTTATCTCCATCTTTGTCAGACATTTTTCGATAATTGGTCATTAAACTGCATTCCTGTATAGAACATAATAAAGCCATTCTGTTGAATTTTTGAAATTTTCTTTATTTTAGCCTAGATATGAGCTCAAATTTGAACAGATCTATTTATCAAAACCAACCCATTGGGAAAAAGATGGTGCACCTAGTCCTATGATGCCAAATGAGGCTCGTTTGAGAAATCTTACGTAAGTATTTTATACCTTAGATTATTGTCTTTACAATTTTTTCAATTCTCATGCGAAACTTGATATAGCTCACAATTTGCTATCATAAAAACTAAAGATTTCATGTAGAGTTTTTGATCAAAGATTCTTTGCTTGCGTAGATTCATGAGATCCCATGTGAGGATCAAGTTTGCAAATTGGCTGCCTTTTAAAAAATCATGGAATGAGCGTATATTTATGTTAATTAGACTTTGTTTGTGTTTTATTTTCAGTTATTCTGCTCCACTATATGTTGATATATCTAAAACTGTACAGAAAGAGGGTGAAGATAAAGTACAGACATTACATCAGAAAACCTATATAGGAAAAATACCTATTATGTTACGGTCAACCTATTGTTTACTAAGTGGATTGACTGATCGTGATTTAACTGAATTAAATGAATGCCCATTAGATCCTGGTGGTTATTTTATTATTAATGGATCTGAGAAAGTTCTTATTGCCCAGGAAAAAATGGCTGCCAATACAGGTAGGTATAGCTTTGTTGTGATTCATGTGTCATACTGGTAGAGTTTACAGATTGATTGAGCTTATCATACAAATAATAAATAATATGTGTTAAATTTTTAATTGATAATCACAAGTGGATGATGCTATCAAGAGAATCTAGTTTCGGAAGACCATGCCAGTGTGTTTGCATAAGTCTTTTCTGATAGTTCTAATCACTTTTATTGGTCATGATTTGTAAATTTTTATGTGGGGTTTAAATTTATTTCAGTATATGTGTTTCAACAGAAAGATTCCAAATATGCTTTTAAAACTGAATTAAGATCATGTTTAGAACATTCATCTCGACCCACTAGTACCTTATGGGTTAATTTAATGGCTAGAGGTGGTGGTGTAAGTATAGTTTATAATGAAGAGTGCTATTTTTTTCACATATCTTGAACAAGTGCAATACTTTCAAACAAATACTTTATTTCAACAGAATTGATTTCCTATTAGTTATAGTCCTAGTCAAATATTATTTGCAACTACTTAGTAATAGTAATAACAACTGAAATGTTAAATTATTTTCAGGGAGCTAAGAAGAGTGCTATAGGACAACGTATTATTGGTATATTACCATATATCAAACAAGAAATACCTATTATTATTGTATTTAGAGCTCTAGGTTTTGTATCAGATAGAGATATATTAGAACATATTATTTATGATTTTGATGATCCAGAGATGATGGAAATGGTAAGTCTGAAATACTTTCTAGTTGATTAAATGTCTCTAATAATTTTGAAAATGAAAAGAAATGGGTTTAACGTACTATTCTTCTGCTAATGAAAATGGGCAACACCTTTCAGTAAGCAATGAAGGAACATTAGCCTTATCTTTTTTTGATTTCCATATGTCAAGGGATGTAGCTCTAATACTTGGGGAAAATGCTTGAGTTCTAAACCCAATCATTTAAGGATTGAAAGTAGTTTTTTTTGCATTCATTGGTTGATGAACAAGAATTTTCACATTATTAACACGTGAAAAAAACCGCAAAAAAATCCACATTCAAATCTTACATAGCATTCAATAATTTTCAGGAATCACCATACTTTTAAGGATAAAATTATTGCAATAATATAGTTAGGCCTATCATGGTACCTACTTCAATTAACTTTAAGCCTGGCCCCTATATTGCTGGGCTGACAAAATTATTTACAAATGAATGAAATTACATTTTGAAAGTTTATCTATAAGACCAAAAAATTACTTAAATATTCAACACAAACTTTGAAACCGAAATTTGTTGCATCATCTTGAGATCATTAAGGAAATATCTTGTTCATTGATAAATGAATGCAAATTTTTCAAACAGGTTCACTGCAGAGTGACAATAAAATGTAAATAATCAATGATCTTATTTAGGTCAAACCCTCTTTAGATGAAGCTTTTGTCATACAAGAACAGAATGTAGCTCTAAATTTTATTGGTGCTAGAGGAGCCAGACCTGGTGTAACTAAAGAAAAGAGAATTAAATATGCTAAAGAAATTCTACAGAAAGAAATGTTGCCTCATGTTGGTGTATCAGAATTCTGTGAAACTAAGAAGGCGTATTTCTTAGGGTAAGCTTTCTCTGCTATAAAATCTTTGTCAAGCAATAGACAATCCTCCCTTTAAATGACCTATTTCAATGTCAATGTTAATATTTGTTCATTGTCTCTTTAAGAAATAAGGTCAATTTACATTTCAACCGTAGATGTAACTAGATATATTCAAAATCCTGTTAGTAATCATACCAAACTTTGAATGCAAGATGATAGTTTTGAATGTTGGAATTAATTGTAGGTATATGGTACATAGATTGTTATTAGCAGCTCTAGGAAGGAGAGAAGTAGATGATCGAGATCATTATGGTAATAAAAGATTAGATTTAGCTGGGCCATTATTGGCTTTCTTATTTAGGGGGTAGGTACTTTCTTTTGTTTAAATTAGAGCAGTGAATGATGAAATAAAGGATATAAGCTTTCTGACAAAATGCAGTAATGTGATTTATAAATGATATTGAATAATTAAATCACAATTCCGTTTACACGGTATCACGTAAATATAAGCTCCACCCCTTAATGGACTACTTTTATCATTGAGTTTGATTGAGGTGGCCACTACATGGTGGCGATGTCTTTCGTTCGAACGTTACCAGAGCCGAAATTGACATTTCACTGAATGATGACCGTACAAAAAAAAATTAAAATCATGCGGATAGTTGAAACATGCCATTCCATAACTAGAGTTATATCCCTTCCTATTAGGAAACCTAGCAAGTGTCACGTAAGCAACACGTGATAGACATGTTTGTACTTTATAGGGCCAATATGTTGTGAAGAACCCCGATTGTTTATAATTTTTCATTTTATTTCACTATCATAGTATAGTAATAACAATATCATTCCTTAAAATTAGGATTCGTTAATATATAAACATAAATGTTTGATGTGTTCCGGAGTCATGATGGAATTCGGGTATGACTAAATGAAAAATTGAATTGAACCACATATTCTCAAATAACAAATTATTATACACCGATCAATGAGTCATACTGAATAATACTGATCCGAAAGTTTGATGCGTTCCGTATCAATATTAGAATTCAGGCATGAACCAAAGATGACATTGAAGTATAACTGAATGATAAATGGTATTCGGGTTTGATCGAACGAAAGATAGCTTAAACGTGATGATTAAGTTATTTGCTTAATCTCATAATGAGGATTTATTAAAAACCAATCACGCAACGCAAATACCGCTAATCCGGAAGCCAGTTAGAAGAACTCACAGTAAACGCGACTGGATGATGAATAGTAATTACTATAGAATTTGATAATTGGTTCCCAATCACAGCCGTGCGCAACTGGAAACTGGAGCTCTGGATTAATGGTTACTTTTACATGGTAAATATTCCGTTCCCGGTAAAAAGCGTGCGGATATCAGGTTTTCCAGATTATTGGTAACCGAATAAAAGCGGCTCCACTGTATTTCCAAATTCCCTCGAATGTGCACACTCCAAATTCCAACAATATCATGAATTCTGGACTTACAATTCGTCTTTCAATGATTGAGCGTTCATCTTTCATGCTGGAGACAGTAGACTATAAATAGGGTGACCAACTTATTGCTGATTGGCTGTTCTCTAGTGTGTTATATACCATCTTATTGACACAACAGTCTAATAACAAAAAATTATTGTTTTATAACAAAATTTATCAGTTCATTAGTTCATTGTTGTTGTTACATTACATAAATATTTAAACACGTATTCAAGTTGATTTAATTATAGTGTACACAGGTTTTTTTTGTTTATACATCGATAAACTGAAAAAATGTTCAGGTAATTCCTTAATTAAATTTTAACTTAGTCTCAAGTCTTCTTGTTCAAGAGAGACTTTGTATTGTGTGTCTTTCTCTCTGTTAGAATCAACCAGAAAAGGGGACAAAAATCCTGAAAGTCCTGAAAGGCACACAATGACAGGACAGTTAATAACCTGTGTTGGCAAATGTTATCGGACCTGGCATCAATTCAGAAATCTTAACAGAATCATTATCATGGATTATTTTAGATTATTCCGAAACTTGATGAAAGAAGTAAGAATGTATGCTCAGAAGTTTATAGATCGTGGTAAAGATTTTAATATGGAATTAGCTATAAAAACTAGAATTATTACAGATGGTTTGAAATATTCTCTAGCTACTGGTAATTGGGGTGATCAGAAAAAAGCTCATCAAGCTAGAGCTGGGGTATCACAGGTATGTCGTAAATGAAACAAACTGATTTTATTTGGTTCTGCCAATGCCATCAGTCGCTTTCAGAGGTTCAAAGATTTATCTTTTAAATATTTCCAGCAGATTTTCTTCATTTATGAATTAATGCAGGAATGTATACTTAAGACTCAAATCACAAAATCAAATGAGTTGCTTTCTGTATTCAAATTGAGAATTCATGAAATTGATGTCAGATGTGAATGAATCAATTATTGTTTTTTAGGTGTTGAATCGTCTGACTTTTGCTTCCACCTTATCACATCTGAGACGTCTGAACTCACCTATTGGTCGAGATGGTAAACTAGCCAGACCACGTCAATTACACAATACTTTATGGGGTATGATCTGTCCTGCTGAAACACCAGAAGGCGCTGCTGTAGGTTTAGTCAAGAATCTAGCTTTAATGGCGTATATCTCTGTGGGGTCACAACCTTCACCTATATTAGAATTTTTGGAAGAATGGAGTATGGAAAATCTAGAGGAAGTAGCACCATCTGCTATCCAAGAGTAAGTTTTTTTGTTACTTGAAACACCCATACATGGATTACAACTACATAAGGATTCTTCCTTATACAAACCCTTTGGCAATGATCTGGAAAAGTAGCTTTTTATACTCCTGTCACCCATGTCTGTTGGTCCATCCACAATTGCTCTTAAACACTCTTGAAGGATCAACTCTTGACAAAACTTGAAAAAAGATATCTGCTAAAGGTTGTTGTATTTTTCAGTGCCTCTAAGATATTTGTTAATGGTTGTTGTATTTTTCAGTGCCTCTAAGATATTTGTTAGTGGTTGTTGTATTTTTCAGTACCTCTAAGATATTTGTTAATGGTTGTTGTATTTTTCAGTGCCTTTAAGATATTTGTTAATGGTTGTTGTATTTTTCAGTGCCTCTAGGATATTTGTTAATGGTTGTTATATATTGCAGTGCCCCTAAGATATTTGTTAATGATTATTGTATTTTTTCAGTTTTTCTAAGATATTTGTTAATGTTTGTTGTATTTTTTCAGTGTCTCTAAGATATTTGTTAATGATTATTGTATTTTTCAGAGCCTCTAAGCTATTTGTTAATGATTATTGTATTTTTCAGTGCCTCTAAGATATTTGTTAGTGGTTGTTGTATTTTTTCAGTTTTTATAAGATATTTGTTAGTGGTTGTTAATTTTTCAGTTTTTCTAAGCTATTTGTTAATGATTATTGTATTTTTCAGTGCCTCTAAGATATTTGTTAATGGTTGTTGGGTAGGAATACATCGTGATCCTGATCAGTTAATGAGTACATTACGTAAACTACGTCGTGAGATGGATATTATAGTATCAGAGGTCAGTCCAATAATATTACATTTAATATATCTTTTATAACTTCAACATATCTCAGAAAAATATTCAATTTATTTAATGGGCATTGAGTCTGTTTGTTACTTCCTTCTGCAAATCATATGTCATTGATGGTAAATGAAAGATATTTCTTGATAAAATAGAGTAATTTCATTGGAATATTCAAGTGTTTTTATGTTTATCATTCCATTCCACAACACAATTATATTTTTTGTAGGTGTGTATGATTCGTGATTTCCATGAAAGAGAGATACGTATTTATACTGATGCTGGTAGAATATGTCGTCCATTATTAATTGTTGAAAATATGAAGTTATTGTTAAAGAAAAGTCATATTAAACAACTCAAACTGAGAGAATATAACAATTATAGGTCAGTAAACGGTTTTCACTACTGTCTTAGAGTTTTGATTATTGCTGATTATGTTATATGTTCTGTTAGATCTTTGGAAAGATCAAGAAACAACTGAAAACTTGTCTTTAATTAAAACTTGTGATTTAGATATTGTATACTAGAGTACATAGCATTGACGAAGTAAATATTTGATTATTGTAGGTAATTTGTTTTCATAACATTGGGATTTGTACTGAATGGTTTTTCCCTTTACTTGTTATTCAGTTGGCAAGATTTAGTAGCTAGTGGTGTAGTAGAATATATAGATCCACTAGAAGAAGAGACCACTATGTTAGCTATGACACCAGATGATTTAGCTGAGAAAGAAGCCCAATACTGTTCAACATACACCCATTGTGAAATCCATCCTGCTATGATATTAGGTGTTTGTGCTTCTATTATACCATTTCCTGATCACAATCAGGTAGGTACATCACACTGTCATGACAGTCAAAATGCAACATCACAAACCCATCTTGAAAATATTTTGTTTTCACACATTTATTTTGTCAAACTCTTATTGTATTTATATGCAGTAATTGGTTTAAAACTTTTGATTTGTATTTGAACTCACAGAGAGTCAATCATTACTGAAAATTTCACAAAACCAATTCAATCCTGCTACGATTCCAATTTTTGATTATGTCTAACTTTTTCACAGAATGCATGATTGTTTTATTGTTTTTCAGTCTCCCCGTAATACATACCAATCTGCTATGGGGAAACAAGCTATGGGTTTCTATATTACAAATTATCATGTAAGAATGGACACGCTAGCTCATGGATTATTTTATCCTCAAAAACCATTGGTTACAACACGTTCTATGGAGTACTTAAGATTCAGAGAGTTGCCTGCTGGTAAATCAATTTATTCAAATCTTTTCTTTTATCAGGTTGAGTTTTTTGTATATGTTTGTTTCATATGGTAACTAATGAAAATCAATCATTACATGATAAATATAGACTAGTAAATATATTGTAAAATCATTTTGTGTGTTCAAAGACTACAATTTATTTCTTTATTTATTGGTAGAGTTAATGTTTTCTGCTAGTTCTAGCACACAAAAGGTTGTTTGCTTATTATTTTTTTATTCTATATAAATTTAGGTATTAATTCTATAGTTGCTATTGCCTGTTATTCTGGTTATAATCAAGAAGATTCTGTTATTTTAAATAGTTCAGCTATTGATAGAGGATATTTCAGGTAATAAGTTTTATTTGTTTTCTAGATTCCTGTCATAAGCTTTATAAGAACAAACAAGCAGAATAGTATTAAAAATAAATGTTATATGTTTTTAGATCATTTTTCTTCCGATCATATAAAGATTCTGAATCTAAAAAGGGCTTGGATCAAGAAGAAATTTTTGAAAAACCTACCAGAGAGCTTGTTCAAGGTTAGTTTCTATGTTCACTTAGATATGTTTTGTATTATGATTTTATACTGAACCTTAATTGAAACTTTTATTATCAACTCAATGTCCTGATATGGTGTGATATTTGTGAATATATACATTAGAATAAAATATACAAACATGAGCACTCTTTATTATATTTTTTGTTTGATAAATTGTAAACAGTAATATATTGTAACATACCGGGTATGTAAAAAAAAAAAAAAAATAGACTACGACCACAACAAATGTTTATTTTATCATACTTGTATGTGCTCGAATACCTATTCCCTGTCTGTCACAGTTAACAATACTACTGGTTGAATTCTAGGTATGAGAGCAGCTATATATGATAAGCTTGATGAAGATGGTATTATTGCACCAGGTACCAGAGTGTCTGGTGATGATGTATTAATTGGTAAAACTATTACGTTACCTGCTAATGAAGATGAGGTAATTAATATAAGTTATGATTGATGTTTAAAATGGGCACCTCTAACATTGATGTTATATGGGATAGCTATATACCTGTTGCTTTTAGAAAAATCTAGATTCCATGCTAAAATGCAATATCTGTGTTCTGTTATTTATATACTAGTATGTATTTATATTATAGTTAGAAGGTACAGCAGCTAGGTTTAGTAAAAGAGATTGTTCAGTATTTATGAGAAGAAGTGAAACTGGTATTATCGATCAGGTAAATATCACATGTTTTCAGAGTCAGATCTTGGAGACTTTCATTTTACCAGCTGGATGATATTTTTGGAGTATCTGGATTTTTCAAATAGAGCTGGTGGTAAATCAGATGAAATCAAGATATAATGATGCACAAGTTTTTTTAGGTGATTGCAAAACAGTGATTTCTAAATGTAAGGCATTTGACATAAAATCTTAAACGATCTACAAGCCATATGTGATACCTTTTTTTATTATTTATTATTAGGTTATGATTACTATAAATAATGATGGTTATAAATTCTGTAAAATACGAGTAAGAACAGTAAAGAAACCACAGATAGGAGATAAGTTTGCTAGTCGACATGGTCAAAAAGGTACTTGTGGTATAACCTATAGACAAGAGGTATGGATATGAATTATTTTGAAGTATACATGTATATTATATTTAATTAATATATAGATTCTAATTTGCAATCTAATTTATGCCAGAAGTAAACGCCCAAACAATTCCTTCTCTCTTTGGATTGAATGTTGTACATCGGAACATTGAATTAAGTATTTTATTCTCTTTAATTTTAATCTATAAGAGCTAAGATATTTAGATGTCTTTTCAATATAGATACAAAGTCGAGAAAGAGAAACAATAATGGAAGCTATTGATAATCGAAAAGTTCAGTAATATAAATGATGTCTGAAAAGATAGAGATGCTGTTTATCTATTGAATAAGAATCATTGAAATAAATAATTTCTAACACTATACTGATTGCTTTCAGGACATGCCATTTACATCTGAAGGTATAACACCAGATATTATCATTAATCCTCATGCTATTCCTAGTCGTATGACTATTGGCCATTTAATTGAATGTTTACAAGGGAAGGTGGCGGCTAACAAAGGAGAAATTGGTGATGCTACACCATTTAATGATACTGTTAATGTACAGAAAATATCCAATTTGTTACATCAATATGGCTATCAACAGAGAGGCAATGAGGTAGGCTGAATTCAATTGTTCTTTACATTCAAAAGGATACTACATCTTTAAAATCAACAAATATTTTAAATTTTGATCAAACTTGGCATCAATTACTATGATCAATATGATTCCACAAAGCAAAACAGAATTTGTCTGCAGGATAAAATATAACACTGAATATTTGTTGAGAATGGAAGACACCTGCTGTCATCCACAAAAGAACAAACTTTTAAGAATTTTTGACTGTCAAAATGAATGATTTTGTGGTCTAAAATGAGAAAAAATATTTTTTGGAGCAATCATAGATCTATGTATATATCTGATGCAATATATTTTTAGGTATTATATAATGGATTTACTGGGCGTAAATTAAATGCTCAGGTATTTTTGGGTCCTACCTATTATCAACGTTTAAAACATATGGTAGATGATAAAATACATTCCCGTGCCAGAGGCCCATTACAGATCTTAAATAGACAACCAATGGAAGGTAGATCACGGTAAGGTTTTCTATGTTTCTATCTGGATATTTTTAGTCAAAATTTGATCTTGTATCTGGTTTGAAGTTTGAACACATAAGATCATATGGTCATTGTCTTTATATGCCCACATCTCTCTATGTGGACGTATATTGTCGGCACCCCTGTCGGTCCGTCCGTCAACATTTGCTTGTTAAAACTAGATTTTTTGATGGAATCAAATGAAATTCGGTATGTGTATACATATTCATAAAACGAAGATCAAGTTTGAATTTGAGCTATTTTCGATCATTAGAAGCAGAGTTATTGCCCTTGACCCAAAATCTTGAATATGCTATTACTCTCTTAGTTTTCAACTGATTTTGATTAAACTTAAAATGGATGTTTCGTTTTTACCATCCACATGCCTTGAAGAGCTGTGGTCCACTATCTTTCACAGTGTATTAGTGACGCTCATTTCTCTATCTATGATTTTCATTTACATTGATAGTAAGGCCTCCCATAATGCAGCAGCCAGGAAGACCTGATATTTGATGAAGCAAGTTTCCCAAAATTTCATTGTTCATTTGTCCCTGACAATATCTTTAGCAGTTTTTTTTTTCATTTCTTATTTCTTTATCTTCAAATCTGTTATTTGGCCTTTTATTTTAGTGATGGTGGTCTACGATTTGGTGAAATGGAACGAGATTGTCAGATTGCTCATGGTGCAGCTCAGTTTTTAAGAGAAAGATTATTTGAAGCCTCAGATCCCTATCGAGTACATGTTTGTAATTTCTGTGGATTAATAGCTATAGCTAATCTTAGAAATCAAACATTTGAATGTCGTGGTTGTAAAAATAAAACTCATGTAAGTGTGTATGCATTTTTTCATGATTGTAGGCATATGATACAGTATGATTTCTACTATAAATCTAAACATAAGGGTAATTAAATAATATGAATATGTAAAATACAATTCCTTTAAATATTTCAATCAAAACCATCTATTCAGAGCTTTAATTGCAAGTGACAAAAATCACTTTTTTAATTAATTTAATCACTGATTGTTCTATTTATTGTTTTTGGTAATTTCAGATATCACAGATTCGTATACCATATGCCTGTAAATTACTGTTCCAAGAATTGATGTCTATGAACATAGCTCCTAGAATGATGACCAGTTAAAGATCTAGATCTCATTTTGTTCTTGTATATATTATTTTGATGTCAAACATCTTTCAGTGTTTTTCATTACAATCATGTTTGTTTATCATAAAATGTCTTCATGTTGAAAATGACTCATAGTTGGATTGATGTGTGTAATTATTAGTGACTAATGTAATTAACTTCAAGATTTTATCGTGATGATGATGATGATGATGATGATGATGATTACATCCCTAATTCATGTCCTAAATGAATAATATTGATCATAATTCTATTTTTTTTTTTTTTGGCAATTGCATCTGAAAGGATGTAGAAGAAAAAGTATCAAGATTTACAGATTTCAGGATTTCGTTTTTATACGCCCACATTTCTTGTGAGCACTATAGAGACTACAGTTTTTATCTGATTTTGATAAAACTTGCTGTGATGCTTTAGATTGATAAGATTTCGGTCAAGTTCGAATTTCACATATTTTCGATGAACGGTTTTTGAGATATTGCCCTTGACTTAGAACGCCTTGAAATTTGTTAAAAATTGTTCGTGAGCAGGATTGAAGCTACAATTTTCAACCGATTCTGATGAAACTTGGTGTGATCATTGGAATTGATAAGATCTCGTCTCGGACAAGTTCTAACTTGACGCATTTTCGATGAACGGTTTTTTTGAGTTATTGCCCTTGACTTTGTTAAAACGCATCGAAATTTGTTAAAAATAGTTCGTGAGCAGGGTTGAAGCTACAGTTTTCAACCGATTCTGATGAAACTTGGTGTGATCATTGGAATTGATAAGATCTCGGACAAGTTATAACTTAATGCATTTTTGATGAACGGTTTTCCAGTTATTGCCCTTGACTTTGTAAAAACGCGTCAAAATTTGTTCGTGAGCACAATAGAAGCTCAGTTTTCAACCGATTCTGATGAAACTTTGTGTGATCATTGGAATTGATAAGATCTCAGACAAGTTATAACAAGAGATATTTTTGATGAACATTTTTTGAGTTATTGCCCTTGACTTTGTAAACGCGCATCAAAAGTTGTTTTTTGCCCTTAATTAGAGCTGTGTAGTTTAATTGTGTGTTGTATTTGGGTTATTGATATTGATTTTAAAAAATTTTGTGGAATTATTCAGCATAAATAATTTCTTCAATATGAGAAAATTCGTACTTTAGTCACTAAAGACTGTTTTATTATTTTTGACAGCTGCCAGTGGGCGTATGTTACCTTGCAACGCAAGCTATCTTTATTGAAATGTTAATGTCCAAATAAAGGTTACTTTCAAGACAAAGTACCAACTGATTGATTTTTATGAATCAACTACTTGTACTCTAAAATATACATGTAACTCAGTGACTAATCCCTCAAAATATCAAAAAAAATTGTGTTTTTTAAAAAAAATGTGTTTTAGACCTTATGAGATGTTAATCAGAATAGAATGGAAGGTTTTAAAATTGTGTTCTTTGAATCAGTGTAAATGTATGTATTGTAATTATTTTATGTGTATCATCAAAGTCTACATTGTTCATTATCACCTACAGTAACATTTGTAAATAAAACATGTTTATTTCTGTACAACTAATTGCTGTTTTTTTTTTAAATGTAAGTCATTAAGACCATGGCTTTTCAAGATATTGTTTACCTACTCAGCAACATGATGGAATACAAAAAAGTCTTTGTTGAAATATGGATCTGAAAGAGTATTTTATAAAGAATAGCAGTGTTATGATGGTAGAATTGTACAATAATTGACTGAACTAATGGACTCTCAATGGCCTTATTATAACAATTTTAATTACTAATAATTACAAAGCCTGTGAGAAAATATTTTCTATGGGCAATTGAAAGAGATAATACTTTTTGTTGGACAAACTAGAACAAAGTAGTAGGTCAAGTGATAATAGACTGTTCTTCTTCAAGATTTAGGAAGTAGCGGAAAAGAAAATTTATAGTAGTCTTGAAAAAGTTAATGTTATCCGCCCTTTTATGTACTTAGTTCAGGGAGATAACTTTCTGCTACTTTATGCCAATTATGGCATATTCAATGCCAATCTGAAGTTCACTTGCACAATTTTATTTACTGTTGACTTAGAAATGACTGTGATTGTAATCTACCTGATAGAAAAGGGTGCTGGGTTGAACTACAGAAAGTCTCATCTGGAAAAGTATTGTCGAAATGGTTTCAATTTCAGTCTGGAAAATCAAGACTTGTTTACAAAAGGTGGGCGTGTTATTATCAACTACAAGTTTTTGGACAGGGTTCAGACATGGTTTACGCATTTATCATCAACACTATTTTACCAGGAATACCGAGACTGTTGTATTATGATATATTTGGACAAGATGGGGTTGCTGATGACAGCTTAGACATTACGGCTGATGTACTTACGTCTATTCGAAAATCTCAAATACAACAAGTTTTCGAGAGAGTTCACTCTGAGTATCAGTTTCGACGTTCATTTAGTGGACGGTCTGTCGAAGACGATGTTTTAAAACTTATAAATGATGACACTCTGCCTGAATTCGACACTGGATTTTTTAGACTTAGGGCTGGTGAAGTGTTTCAAAAAGATCGATATGTGATTTGGTTAGCTGCAGGATACACAGCCTTCTCGTTTGTTTGTGAAAAATATGAAAATAGACTGGTTGCTGAATCGATACTCAAACATTTAATTCGATATTTACAAGAACATGTAAGAGTTTTGACACAGCCTTCAGAAACTGGCCTACGATCAGAGAGAGTTGGTGTTGTGGTTAATACATTTCTACCTCAAGGAAATTTACTGTTTCTCAATAATCGATTAATAAGACAATTAGAAAAAGAAGTTGACAACCAGATTAAGGCGTCTTAGTAGACTATTCATTCAGTTTGAACACAAAAATCTGTAGTGACTTGTTGGCACAAGTGAAACATTACTAGGCCTACCTGTGTTGTAATTGATTACTTTTCTATTTTAAGAAAGACACTTCAAACATTCCAGAAGGCATGAACATTAACATATGAGAGATAGAATGACTTGTATTATGAAAGATATTGACCTATCTGTCTTCAAAATCTTTTCATTTATTTATATTGCTCAAGTGACTTCTATACATACACTACTAACATCAAGGATTGAAATGAGTTTTTGTTCCCTGCCCACCATTTAACATTATTTGCATACTAACAGAATCTTGCAGACTTCAGTGGAGAAACTGTATATTTACAAAATTATATGCAGTCGGGCTCATTAAATTCTAGTTTTTATTGTTTTTATATAGTTAACGCTTATCAAATCGGTATATGATGGGGATAGAATAAAGGGATTACATTTTTCACCCGTTTTTTTGATAAATTGTACAAGTCTGAAGTTCGTTGTTATGTTGAATTTTGCCCATATTTTAAGTGAATTTGAATAAAATCTTTGAAACAATACTGTACTTAGAATGACTTTGCTTTCGTCAATAATTGTACATTGCCGGGGACATGATATAGTCAACTTAACAAAATAAATCTTAAATTCTCGAAAACTTGAAGAATTTTGTCCTTTTATTCAACGATAGAAACGTTAATGTATATAAATTAATCAAGGTGGCAATTGTAGGGATATTTCTAAGTGAAAGGTATAACGCCACAGACACTACAAATGATCGGGTCCAACAGTTAAAATGACTGCATCGACAGCTCTTCATTTGTACTGAGAGAGTGAGTTCGATGCTAACTGAGAACTTTCAATCTGTTTGTAAATGTGCAACGTTTCTTTTGTGATTTATACAGCACTACAATTTCTTCCAATTGGACTTTATCACAATGCAATAAAATAATTCAAAAAGGATTTTGGAATATAAGCTTGGTTATCTTTAATCAATATTTTCAATCTTCATTAATGGCAATTAACTTAGCGCCAAAAGGGATATAGTCGCCATAAGTTTCATCTTATCAACTGTAAACTAAGTGCAACGACAAGTATAATCTAACGCCTGGTTCCTCTCGTATTTTAATTCTGAAAAGAGGTATACGGGTGTTTGAAATTGATGCATGCCGTCTTCAGAGACTATATCTCTTTAATACACAACTAAGGGACAAAATATCTTACAGTCCTTCAGGCGGCATTTTCGGAGGAAGGGTGTGGCCTTAAAAATACGTAAGTAGTCTTCAAAAGTAATAGAACTGTAAAAAAAAATCGCATAATTTCTTCAAATGTGGGTGATCGAGGCTACTGTGTAATTATCCAGTCCTTAACTGCTCTTCAAAAGACAGGATTTGAAAGTAGCAACTCGTCAATGTAAGTTACAGACACGGATACATATGACTAAAGTCACACTAGCCACAATTTATCCGGGCGAGTACGGCACGGAAAAATATTAGTGCTGTGTAAACGCGCCACTGGGCCGGGCCAACTTGGCCCACTTAGCCGGGCCTTGTGCGCATGCGCAATAATAACCTTGACCCTGTTGCTTTATTCGAACAAACTAGGCTAAAATTTGACAAAAAAGGATCGACTTACTGTTAAAATGTGTACCCAACCGGGAGCTACATGGAGTGATGAAGAGACCGAAGCTCTGATCGCTATTTGGGGTGACGAGATCGTCCAAGTTCAGTTGGAGGTGCCCGTCGCCGTCATAATCACAAGATTTATGAATCAATCGCCAAGAGCCTGCAAGAAAAGCACTTCGAAGATAGAGATGGCAAACAGTGCACGCAAACATGCACTTTCATTGCTGTGTGTTTTCGCCTCCTCTGACAGGAGAGCAAGTCTACTTTTGATTTTGGCCCAGTGAAAACAGTGCTGTGTAAACGGTACAGGCCAACCGGACCGAGTACGGTTCACTTCAATTGGGCCAGTTTTTATGGCTGTCTAAACGCGGCTATAGGCACTTGCACGATTGCGAAGGGTGTAGGCCCTAAGGGTGCGTGCCATGTGTAGAGAAAATTTTTGGTCGTGGACTACGTATACACGGATGATGGATGCATATGACTAAAGTCACAATGGCACTTGCACAATTGCTGTTTGCGCCTTCGTAAACTAGCGTATAGAATGTGCGAAGGGTGTAAGGGTGCGTGCCATGTGTAGAGACAATTTTGGTCGTGGACTACGTATGCAAGTCGTTATCACATGCGCTAACAGGCCGCAAACGCTGCGCTCCGCTGCGAGGCACTGTATCAGTGCGACATTAGGCATTTCGACGATAAGCTGTGAACACTATACATTGCTTGTCTCACCTTCGCAAGTCAAGCTTTTACGATTTTCGTCTAATACCTTGATTGCTATAGCCACCTTTCTTATATCACGGATTGGTTTGTAACCCAGTAAATACAGCCAATCAGAACCTTTGACAGAAACACTGTAAACATTATGGCTTATTGTTTACAAACTTTCTGTCGGGGTTTCTCATTGGCTACATTTGCTTTTCTCTGCTTTACAATCCAATCAAATCGATGCATTTACAAACTTCTGTGATACAAGAAAGGTTGCTATTGAAGTCAAGGTTTAAGACGAAGTTCGTAATAGCTTGACACTGTGAAGGTATGATTACCTTCTGAATAATTCCCATTTCTAAGACCAAGGCGACGTCAGAAAATGTCGCTTGCACGTATATAGGACTTTAATGTCCAAATTAAAAAAGAATTATGCACAAGACTACAACTGATCTATCTATCAAAACAAATTTGATTCGGATTTTGAAAACAACAGGATTACTGATCACAATACAATGATTTACATTTATTATTTTTATTCGTTATAAAACTTTCTCCCAAGAGATTTACATGAAAGAAAAGCTATGATTTGATTATTTTCATTCTATTTCACTAATCAAATCACGATGGTTTCATGAATACCATTTTCTTTTCTGGATTTGGCTATTGGCCACAAAGATGCTGAAAGATCCTGGTATTTGATTTATTTATAACACCCTTCTTCACTTTCAAAACATTTATGATCAGAGTGGGGCTTTCACAACCAGCTTCTTCGCTTTCCTGCTAGATTATAATGGTTCCATTCTTCTTAAGCATAATAGTTAATTAAGACTCAACTAGAACAAACATACCACATCAAAAGTTTTCGCATCACAAGAGTACCAATGGTTGGCGCACTGTAACATAGAAGATAGTGGATGGTGAATATTCAAGATTTTGGGGCAAGGGCAATAACTCTGCTTCTAACGGTCGAAAATAGCTCACATTTGAACTTGATCTTCGTTTTATGAATATACATACCGAATTTCATTTGATTCCTTCAACCACTCTAGTTTTAAGAGTGTTTACAAGCAATTCATGTTGATAGAAGCACCTACTGTATAGAGGTTAAAGGGCGATAACTCCCCAAAACTAACGTAAGAGGCCTAAATCTTGAAAAAGCCTTAACTAAACTTTCTCAAACCTTTAGATTTAGGTCCAATAACATCCATTTTAAGTTTCATCAAAATCGGTTGAAAACTAAGAGAGTAATAGCATATTCAAGATTTTGGGGCAAGGGCAATAACTCTGCTTCTAACGGTCGAAAATAGCCCAAATTCGAACTTGATCTTCGTTTTATGAATATGTATACACATACCGAATTTCATTTGATTCCATCAAAAAATCTAGTTTTTAAAGCGTTTACAAGCAAATGTTGACAGGCGGACCGACGGACGGAGTGTTCACGAGCAATTGATGTTGATAGAAGCACTTACTGTATAGAGGTTAAAGAGTGACGTAAGATGCCTAAATCTTGAAAAAGCCTGAAATTTAATCAGATGTGAACTAAACTTTCTCACACCTTTCGATTTAGGTCCAATAACATCAATTTTAAGTTTCATCAAAATCGGTTGAAAACGAAGAGAGTAATAGCATATTCAAGATTCTGGGGCAAGGGCAATAACTCTGCTTCTAACGCTTGAAAATAGCTCAAATTCGAACTTGATCTTCTTTTTATGAATATGTATACACATACCGAATTGCATTTGATTCCATCAAAAAATCTAGTTTTTAGAGCGTATAAACATGCATCGATATCATTACAACATCGATATAACAGGATGCTGATTTTCACCAACGTATTGTCCGTGCCAGATTTACAATAGGTAGTTGGAAAGCCATCGTTCTCCAGCATGCTTGAGCGATACTTTATAAGGGGTTGTTTTTATTTACCGAATTGCCGAGGAATTAATATGTATATATAGGAAAGCAGTAATTCGGTATGTACATACAACAAACTTTGTCAAGTACCCATCGAGCATGATGGAGAACAAAGGTCTTCCAACTATATCAGACAATACCGTAGTGGAAACCAGCGTAACGTTCAAGAAATTGGGCGAGCTTTTGTGTACATTTTATGTAAATGTAAAGATACCGATATGATCGTTCGTCCATCATCGGCGACTCAGTGGTGTGGCCGAGACTTAGGGCCTACCTATAAAAAGATAAAAATTATTTCTGTACAACGTTCAATCAATGTGAAACACGTATTTAGTCATATTATAAAAGTGGTTCATGGAATGTTACACTGTTCATTTTGAATAGGTAGCTTTCCAGAAACACGTTGACATGATATCGATGAACAGTTGCAAAGGGGAACAAAGAATCTTTTGCATTTAGTATGAAGGCAGGAAAACAGAAACAGAATTCATGGATTTCAATTCGCCATATAAAATTTTGCCAGGCGAGATTCTTTTTGAACCTTTTACTGGAAAGTCTACAGGCGTGTACTTTCAAATAACAAAAATTATCAGGCTGTATCGCTTTCGGCATCTTATTTTCATAATATTTAAACTTCCATGAGGAAATATAACTTATAAAGTAATGGTCTAAAATATTGCTATGGTAATGCTGCAGACACTACGGAAACGTATTCTTGAACATGCATGATATGGATAATTACCTAATCAATATTTGAAAGAGCTCTTGGATACATTTTTGTGTTATAATGATTTTCATACACCCACGTTTTATATATTGCAAGTAGAGGTTTCTTGTGACTGAAGCCAATCACAATATAATTGTGGTGAATCTTACTACTGTCCATGTAACTTGAAGATGTTTTGAAGACGTTGATGAATAATCCACTTAGTGTACAAGAAAGATTGGTAAGACTGAACCTTATTCTATACTGATATTTCTTTGTAAATCGTCAACGTCATTAATATGTTGACTCTCGCTCGTCCACTTTTGCTCGTTTTGGTGAATTTAACTAATCATTTTTCTTACGAGAGGGTTGCCCGTCGTTCGAACATACATTATTTAAGGTTTAGTTAAGTGTGGGGACGTATATTTACAAAATAAAACGTACAAATTCTACCTGCAAGCGCAAGCGTAAGATTATAATAATATATTATCTCGGTCACCGATCGTCTTCACAATGTCACAATTTAAAATTTCGTCTGATATCATTCTGTACTGCAATAGCCACCTTTCTGATACCATGGTAATTTGTCAATGAGGTGATTTGATTGGATTGTATGCTACCGAACGAGAACCGTCGACATAAAGTCTTCAAACCATAAGACGTAATGTTTACAGTCGAGAGCTCTGATTGGCTGTATTCTCTAGCGTACAATCCAATCAAATCGTTGCATTGACAAAGAGAAAGGTGAAAGGTGACTTTGCAGTCAAGGTATAAGACGAAGTTCGTAATAGCTTAACATTGTGACGATGACTTACGAGAGGAAAAGCCTGATAGAAATACTTACTTATATGTATGTATTATTATTATTGTAATACGTATTGAAGAGATGATGTAAATAAACAACGATGATTAAACTTCAATAAATTAATATGTGTACTTTTATAAATACATGTAATCAAAAATGTATGAATATTTTCAAAGTAATGGCGACAATAAACATGAGTTTGTTTCCTGTCGTGGCATCCCATTGGTAAAGGTTTAATAAAACGAAACACACAAAATATAAATTGGGAAATCAAAAACACGTATATGAATTAAATGGAAAAAAAGTGTTGTAGGCTATTTATTTATATTTTGATATATTATCAAAATAATGCCATTTTTTAACAAACCGTTAGTTTCAATCGTTTATAAAACCCCTTTATTTTTATACGCCCACATGAAATGTGGAGCGTATATTGCCGTCACCTAAATCCGCCCGTCCGTCTGTCCGTCCGTCCACAATTGGTCGTAAACACTCGACGAAACTTGGTATGGTTGTTTGTATTCACCCAAGGATGATCGCTATTGAAAATCAGACGAATCGAAAAATATTTACAGTGAGTTATTGCCCTTGTTCTTGAAACGCTCGTAAACACTCTAGAAAGAGCAATTCATGACGGATTTTGATGAAACTTGGTATGAGTGTTTTTTATCACCCAAGGATAAACCCTATCGAAAATTGAAAAATATTAAGTATGAGTTATTGCCCTTGTTCTTGAAAATCCGTTCATTTTTAGCTTGTAAACACTCTAGAAGGCACAATTCTTGGTGGATTTTGACGAAACTTTGTGTGAGTGTTTGTAATCACCCAAGGATAAACCCTATCGAAAATCAGAAAAATATTTAGTATTAGTTATTGCCCTTGTTCTTGAAAACGCGTTCAGTTTTTAGTTCGTAAACACTCTAGAAGGCACAATTCTTGACGGATTTTGACGAAACTTGGCATGAGTGTTGGTTATCACCCATTGATAAACCGTATTGAAAAACAGAAAAATTGAAAAATATTAAGTATGAGTTATTGCCCTTGTTTTTGAAAACGCGTTCAAATTTTAGCTTGTAAACACTCTAGAAGGGACAATTCTAGATGGATTTTGGCCAAACTTGGTGTGAGTGTTCGTAATCACCCAAGGATGAACCCTATTGAAAATCAGAAGAATCTAAAAATACTGAGTATGAATTATTGCCCTTGTTCTTGAAAACGCGTTCAATTTTTAGCGTGCAAACATTCTAGATGGCACAATTCTTGATGGATTTTAACGAAATTTGGCTTGAGTGTTTGTTATCGCCCAAAGATAAAGCCCATTGAAAATCAGAAAAATCGAAAAATATTTAGTGTGAGTTATTGCCCTTGTTCTTGAAAACTCGTTCAATTCGTAGAAAGTAAAACTATTGATGGCACAATTCTTTTGGCATGATTCTTGCTGAATTTTGACAAAACTTGGTTTTATTATTCATTACCGCGTTGATTGAAGATTGAATATTTGTCTTCTAGAGTTTTCACGTGCTAAAGATTGAACAAGTTTTCAAGAACTAGGGAAATAACTCATACTCAATATTATTCAGTATCGCCCTAAAGAGTTTAAAAGAAGTGTATGACTGAAGGTTGAATATTTCATAAAGGTGATTGTTACTGTACTGCTAAATATTTTGTTCAATATCAAAGCTGTCAGTGGGCGTATATTACCTTGCCAGGTAAGCTATCTTATCCGATTATATTATCATTTCAGACGTGTTAAAAGATATTAAGATATTTGTACGTACGAGTATTTGTAATGACGTTTTAGATTTACTGATAATTTCGAAAAACAAACGGTGCTATGGTTACCTATTAACATTAGAATTATTTAAGACCATTAAATTCACGTCTACCAGTACTATTGTAAGCTATATATCTATTTGTTCGGGACGAAAGTCATGTGATATTCAAACGGACATACATTGATTATACTGTCAGTATGGAAAACTGGAAATGGCAACAAATTCCAGTCTCGTTAGTTTTGATCGTTATAACCAGTAAGTCCATATACTTTTATTTCATTTTTTTTGTTGAGAAATTTGTATTTTTTTCATATCGGTTATTTTTCATTACTACGTAAACGTGCAGGAAAATATGTAATGATTATTGTCCTTCATATTGCGTTTAACGTTTTGTCGCTGAAAAGAACATTAGAATTTTCTCAAGGTTTCTAATGTTGATTATTTATTTTGCTGCGTTTACATGTGGAAAAACGCGGTTCTAATAAAAACATTTTCGCTTAAAAAGATGATATACTTGCAATCCAATCTTATGGTACGTATATTTACATACAGGTTCACATACAACTAAGGTCAATATTGCATTGAATAAACCAACAAGGCAAAGTTCACTTGGTCCAAAATCTCAAACGCAAGACGGTTATTCCTGGAAGGCTGTGGATGGTAATACAAATGGCGAGTAGGTATAATTTCAATATACATTCCTAATACGTTTATGGTGATGGTGAGCGTTTTCTTTCTTCCATTCCCCTATTCATGTTTTGAAATATTTAAAAATTAGAACCTTCAGCCAGTATCTAGGAATTTTGACTGGTTGAAAATAGACTTTAAACGACATTGTCATATTATTATGTATATGTATCGTTACACATAGATACAACAAAGGATCATGTACACACAATAAGGATTTTTTTGAAAATGGAACTGAATGGTGGGAAGTGGATCTTCAAGAGCTGTATAATATAACTGAGGTCATTGTCTATAGCAGGGCAGACACATGTTGTTGTAAGTATATATTCTATTTACATTCATAAAATCGGATGCTGTAGAAAATATCCTACTGGATTGTTTTTTCAAAACTACGGTGCCCCTTAGGCGCAATTTTCCGTACTTTTATACATTTTTTCTTTTTTTTCGTTTAAACGAAATAACTTTTCGTTTTATTTCGTTTAAACGAAATAACTAATAAAAGTACGGAAAGTTGCGCCTAAGGGGCTCCGTAGTTTAAACGAAATATATGATATTATTTCGTTTAAACAAATTAATTATTTCGTTTAAATGAATTAATTATTTCGTTAAAACGATATGTTTTATAAAAGTATGGAAAATTGCGCCTTAGGGGCTCCGTACAAAACGTCTTGGACATTGCAGTTAAATGTGTTTATCTAATTAAATTTTGTTGCTTAGAGGACAAACATAAAACAAATCAAAATATATCTACCAGTGTTTTTCACCAAGATGTTTTTACTGATCCAAGACAAATTAAAACACACTTTTATGCGATTTTTGCCCCTGAACAGGCAAAACTGTAGGCGGGAAAATGTATTGTCGAAAAATCTGACGTTTGTTTATTTCCATAATTCTATAAACATAAAACTTTTAGCATTTTCTTTTTTCGGAGAACTTTTATGAAATTTTCTCGCTCTTTTTCAGTAAATTGGTTAGATGACTATGTTCTATACAGTGGAGTGAATTGTGAAACTGGTATTTGTTACAATGAATGCTACAACTACAACAAAACACAAGAAACCGTTAAAGTCAATCGTATACCAGAGGGTTGTATAGCTCAACATATTCGTCTTTCTGTGATCCACAATAGCCTTGTTTTGTGTGAAGTTGAAATATTTGGAGAACTTAAACCCTTAGGTGAGGAATATTTTCAAAATAGAAATTATAATTGAATACTTTTCTGTATAGCTGTCTCAATAGGCTTATCGTGCAATATTTATCTTCTTTAGTAATATAAGAATGCACATGTATTGTGTTCTCTGTTGATTCATTTCATGTCAGTATCATCAACATTACTACCAAGTAGAGATATATCTTCTGATGGTCAAGGAATGGTGGTAACTACCTCTGAACAACTCATGAAAACATCAATAGAAGCAAATTCATTATTTACCGACGTAAACAGTTCTCTTGATACGGTTGATAAAGCAAGTTCAACAGATTCTTTTAGGATTACGCCATATACGTCCGATCTGGAAAGTATTGATGTTGATCCAACTTTTAGTTCTTTAGACTCCACCACGTCGTCATCCAACAACCAGATCATTCCGTCATCATCTTATGTGAGCGAACCGTATTCAGAAACTGAAAGTTTGTTACCAACAAGCCGTTTACCATTCGTTTCTCAAAGTCAATTTGCTACTTTATCATCTTACCCTGTCGAAGAATCATCATGGGAAAGCATATCACCAACGATACCAATATCAACCAAATTGCCATCGTACTCAGACATAAATTCTTCTACACAAGATACCAGCAGTGACCGAACGTCTCATGTACCACAGTTTCCTGATGAAGCAACCATATCATCATCAATAGGGATCTCTACCACAATTCATACTAACTGTCCGTGCTTATGTTCAAAATTGACTTTTGATGAAATCCGAGAGAAAATAAAATATATCACCAAGAGTTTAAGTTTACCAAAAAATAATTTGTCAAGTTTCAGACGCAAAAAGAAGACAGCAGACGACAATCGGTTTTCAGCTACTGTGGCAGGATATACCGGTACGGCTATTTTGTGTTGTGTATTTGGATTTCTTGTGTCCGGCGATGTCTCAACACTGTTGAAATCTACAGTCATATGGATTCGAAAATATAAATCAAACTGTAGTTAACAAAATATTAACATAAATTCACTAAATAGTGAATATAACGATTTTATTTGAACACTGGATTGAGTAATTAACCTAGTTAACTTTGAAACTACGTTTCTCTGTATCCCGCCTTCAGTTTATTTCTGCAGTTTGTGTAAGCCAGATATTGAAATAATTTGCACCATTTAATTTAAAGTTATAGTCTACGTCTGTGGTTTATGCAATTTTGCTAAAACTATCGTAAAAGCTGAGCACCAATGTACCTAAGGGTCTTTGCGATAGTGAAGTCTAAAAATGCCTTGACCAATAATGTGTCGATAAATGGGAACTAAAACGTAAATTAATTTTATATTAATGTGATATTAATCGCTAAAATTAGAGTCTTTTGTTAAAAAATCCGATTATATCTATAAGAACAGATAATCACTGAGCAAAATGTGCTTCAAAATACACCCAACATAAATTGAAATCAGTCATCTATCAATAGCTTTTAGAAATCTTATCAATAGATTGATTTTATTATCCAGTAATCAGGAAGTTGGATGTTATAAATATATCAACGTGAATTTTTGCGATTTATACTCGTGGCTTTGATGAGTAAGTTCTGGAAGTGAACACAACAGAAAACCACCCATTATGCTAATATTGGTATTTCAAGAATTATATTCTGTAAGATCCAACACCAGCTTAGTTCCACAAAATCCACAAAGACCAACAACTCTAGGTCACCACATGGTGTAATGCAGCATGTCAAAACCAAACCTCCATTCGTCATACTTCCTCGGGACCGTGGTAGTACAAGTGGTAGGTAGGTAGATGACTCAAGTTAACGTTCGCTTCCAGGTAAAGAATCGAATTTGACAGAAAATCGAAACCTTACTATAATTTGGTATACGCCCTCATGTCTCTATGTGGACGTATATTGTCGGCACCCCTGTCCGTCCGTCGGTCCGTCCGCCCGTCAACATTTGCTTGTAAACGTTCTAAAAACTAGATTTTTTGATGGAATCAAATGAAATTCGGTATGTGTATACATATTCATAAAAAGAAGATCAAGTTCGAATTTGAGCTATTTTTGACGGTTAGAAGCAGAGTTATTGCCCTTGCCCCAAAATCTTGAATATGCTATTACTCTCTTAGTTTTCAATTGATTTTAATGAAACTTAAAATGGATGTTATTGGACCTAAATCGAAAGGTTTGAGAAAAATTACTTCTGATTAAATTTAAAGCTTTTTCAAGAGTTAGGCCTCTTACGTCAGTTTTAATGAGTTATCGCCCTTTAACCTCTATACAGTAAGTGCTTCTATCAACATCAATTGCTCGTAAATACTCCGTCCATCGGTCCGTAAGTCCGTCAACATTTGCTTGTAAAAACTAGATTTTTTGATGGAATCAAATGAAATTCGGTATGGTAGACATATTCATAAAACGAAGATCAAGTTCGAATTTTAGCTATTTTCGACTGTTAGAAGCAGAGTTATTGCACTTGCCCAAAAAATCTTGAATATTTACCATCCGCATGCCGTGGTGGGCGTATATGGCTGTGGTCCACTATCTTTTACATGACCTTATTAACTATTCACACATTATACTAAGAGAATACAAGAAGGTTTACCAAAAGACACAAGTAGATTATATGATATGTTTGTAACAGTTGATCAATGATCTTTGTTTTTGTACATTAATAATTCATGTGTAAATACAGGTAACTATTTATGTTATACCAAACATTGCATTCATTAAAGAACTGGAACTTTGTTGACATGAAATTTTCATTAATTTAAAAAAATAGAATGAGATTATTTTCAAACTATATGGTTGATTATGACTGCACCCATTTAGGATTTTATTAAGTTAAATCTGGCTATTGAAAGAAAGACATCGCAGACATTGAAAATGTCACGCACACGAAAATTCCAAGATAGATTGTTTTCTGAAACGTTGTTCTTTCCAATACTCAGCTATACACCCAAAAATGATACGAAGATGCTTAAGGTAATATGTTTGGCACATTGGAAGTTTATTATCGACTATTAGTCCCAAACTTATTAAATAGTGGATGAAATTTCGAATTTGGTGTGATTCAATCAAACCAAACTTTTAACATGTAAATGCAATTTCAATCAGTAAAAATATCGGGAAAGAACCATATAATCAATAATTATCATCACTGTTATTGTAACACATTGTGTTTAAGTAGGCCTACTCAAACTTCTTCTAAAGAAGATTGTTTGGATAGTAATGCCATCTCGAGTTAACTATAATTCAGGATCCACTACCAAGACCAAGCGGCTATTACTAAAACCTACAGCTTTAAAGATCATGGTTCGCCATTTTCGAGGGTTGATTTGGGTCTTGAATATATGTAAAAAGTCTACAATATAACTGTACGAGAATCGCATAATTCCTTCAAATAGACCTCAAACTAAAAATTTCACTTTATTTTCTAAATAAAGGCGAAGTATCAAGAAAAGTCCAGTCGTCATTTTAACTTTCAACCGCGCGGATAATTCTGTTCAAATATGGATTTGAAGGCTCAAATTTTAAACGGTGAACTGTGAACTTATTTCCTTTTCTGAGACTAAGGTACGATTAGTCACACGGATGGCGTACGTGTCCCTTTAAGTAAGTTAAGTTTTAGGCCAACATCGTTCAGGTACTAACGTGCGAACAAAAGGTGCATAATTGCGTCATAAAAATTCCCAGCGTTGGAGAGGGCAGGAATTTGATTAGCTGGCGGTGTATTAATGCGGATAAATGTTCAAGAAGGCAGTTTTTTACACCCTAACTGAAGTGGTTATATTAAAAATGAAAGCTAATAAAACGAAAGTTTGCCATATTTTAGAAAGAGGGAGGATGATTGGTGTGTTTAACTAATACTAAAAGTAAACGGAATCATACCATCAATTCATTTCTCATCCCTTTCCATGAATTGTTAAATAACAAAATCGGTCTATTTGTAAACAGAAAGGATGTTGGCATTTAATTCCAACCTCAGACATATTTCTGTATGATTACAAATTAATAAGTTTTTATATGTCCTTAGGGGCCGTGGCATAGTCTAGAAATTTCAATATGATATATAAACTTTGATAATACATTGTATTCAACAAAAAGAGACTTTGAAAAATCGTTATATGCACCAATGTCAGTTATTTTATATAAATTCTGAAGGCAACAAAACAGAATAAAATTTAGCAAGGTTTTGTGCTAAATTATTATTGTTATATAAAACAATAAGAGACAATAAGGCACCGTATCTTGCAGGGTTTTGACATGTCTCTTATATACCATAATATTAAAATCTATCCTATAGATTCTGATATACACTCTTTCTTCTTATTTGTACTACAGAAGGCAACAATACATGGTACATTATACATGGTTTGCCATTTTGGAAGTTTGGTTTGGGCTTTGAATGCACATAAATAGTCCTCGGAAGTACCTTATCAGAGCTGTACGAAAATCACATCGCAAACGGCTGCATTTACAAACTTCAGTGACACATAAAAGCTGCAGTCAAGGTGTAGGACGAAGTTCGTAAAAGCTTGATTTTATGTAGATTTTCTGTGGTATGGTGACCGGTGAACAATATCTAAATGTACATTGATTTATTATAATTTCATTATGACTTCATCTTCATGGAATGTACTTAAAGCATCTAGGAAACTGAAAACAGTTAGAAGTGTTTTATTCGTGGACGTTTTAAATAACTCTTTTATTTCTACCTGGATGGCCACTCATAATTTCTAGCACTATTATACAGAATATAAGTTTTATTGATATTTAAATTTTCAAAGTAAAAACAAAGGGTAATTAAGAAAACAAAATAGCATACTAAACTCCATTCAAATCGGACACGATCACTCGCTTTATTGATTACTTTTACAAAGTAACATGTAATTACTTAAAAGCCCATCATCAGAATATTCAGTCAGCAGCAATAACTCAAAAACCAAACCAAAGGTCGAACTGGTGTTAGAGTGAGATTGAGATTTAAAAATCCCAATAAAAGCACTGGCCTAGGTCACAAAACAGATATAACTTTTGATTATCATATGGTGTTTTCTGAAATTTCATCAATGCAAAAGTCTAAAGCTGCGTTAAAATCAGACGTAGCTGCAGTCTCAATCAAGTTTACTCGCCAAACTTACGTTAAAAAGAAAATTATCATTGCTAAATAACTACTTGTCTTTGATGGAATCCACAGTTAAAAGGATGAACTCAGCAAAAATCAACAATTGATGTAAACATAGACGTACGTACATATCTCTCGTTGGTTTTCCAATACCGAATATTACATTCTTTTTACTGCTTAATGGAATTCTAAATATCGACAAATCACCCATTCCCTTTCTGATATCAGTCAGTAAAACATTCGCAAACATCATTTCGATATCAGGTAAACAATTGGAAACAGCACGATGATCGAGGGCATGTCGTGGCATTTTTTCTTGTTCTTTTGTATGAAAAATGGATCATAATACTGTAGCTTTGACGTAAGATTGTTCTACTGAGATGATATAATTAAAATTCATCCCACTCAATTTTGGGTCGCTTAATTCACCTTGACAAAAGCCTTATTTGCATCTAAATATAAAAGCTGAACCATTATTGAGTTCATAGAGACATTACCATATATTTCATGACGCCTTTGTGCCTTACCATATACCACAATAATACAGGCAAGGTATGTGCTTTTCCCTTCTTCGGTCAATTCTTTAAACATAATTAGGGTCAGAATGTGGATCAAACGATTGAGGTCACGTTGTGCATGGCATCAAATGTTGTTCTTCGTAGATAATTGATAATTGAAGCCGGACAATATTGCCAGATTAGATTGTTCATGGAGGCAAGTAATATATCCGGAGGGCCAATAGATAATGGTGTTTAGTTGCAGTAATGGTTGTCAAAATTTTTCAAAGGGGCAATCCATTTTTTCGGGAGGTCCCCCTTGGTTCCCTGAAGCTACGGGCCTGATTTAAAGCCATTAGATTGCGAATCGTTTCAAAAATTCAAT